TCTCCACCCGTGATCCTCAACGTGGCCGGTGCTGGAGCCTGCATCGGTCCTGCAACAAAATGTGGACAGTTGGCCCTCAAGTGCCCAACTTGATGACAATGATAACAGATCCTCAAATCCCGACCCGGGACTACCTGCCGACAATCCCTCGCATAGTGCCCCTCCTTTCCGTACTTACGGCATGCACCACCGGACCGACAAATTCAAGTGTGACCCTTCCCACACTTCCCACAAGTGTGGCTTCTCTGATCTCCCACTCTAGAATCGATGGTGTTAGACCGTTTCGGCGCCGGCTGCAACTGCATCGGAACCTGCCTCTGCTCTCGTAACTGCAACTCAAGCTCCAACTCACGCCACCTGGCGGCCTCCTGTAACTCTAACAAGGTCTCGCACCTCTGCGTAGACACAAATTGCCTGGTATCCCTCTTGAGCACACTCAGATATTTGGACATCTGATCCTACTCCGAAGCAAACTCGGGGCAAAACATCTCCCTCTCAGTGAACATCCTGGTGATCTCCGTCACTGACTCCGAATCCTGCTTCAGTTCAATGAACTCCTAAGCCAATCTCTCCCTCTCAACCTGCGGAACATAACGAGTACTAAACATCTCTCGGAACTGATCCCATGAAACCGCAACCCTCTAAGCATCCGAATATGACCCCATGGTCAATCTCCACCAATCCTTCGCCCCAAGCCTCAACAGGTTCAGAGCACACCTCAGCCTCTGATTAGCAGGGCATGAAAACGTGAAGAAACACCCTTCCACGTCTGACAACCGTCTCATAGAAACAATCGGGTCCTGAACTCGATCAAAGGTAGGGGCTTCGTATTATCGAAGTCCCGATACTGGAAACCTCTACCAGCTCCTCCCCCTGCCGCTGCTACAGCCGTTGTAGCCGCCGCGACAGCCGTGTCTGTGAGAGCCGCATAACGCTCATCAAAATACTCCACCATGGCGGTCTTGATCGACCCAAATAGTTCCAGCAGCTTGGCCCGGAACAACGCAGCAACCTCATCATGCAGGATCTCACGAATCGTAGCATCCAACTCGCCTATGCTCATCTCACCAATAACCTCGGGCAGTACTGACCCGCCCTGACCTCCCTCTCCTGCTCCCGATCCTAACCCGTATCCGCTCCTAGCATGCCTCGTGGCCACCATACTGAAAAACATTAGAAAATCTCAGATACTTCCCACTAATCCGAGAACCAACGCCCAACTCAACCCTAGAGGTCATGGTTTCCCTGATACGCTTATGGGTCCTGTGCTTTCAGTAGTACGGGCCCATACTACCTTCCACACCTACCCATATTTGTATGAAGTACTACCACAACACCCTAGTGACAAATATACATAGCAAGCGCTCAATCCTCACTCCTAGAGGAACACTGAAAATCTCATACAGAAGGAAACCCTAGGCTAGCAGGCATCATAAAACATGCAACATTATCATCAAATCCTAAAGATCCCTAGCCTAGTACTAGCATACTGTTCTATCAAAGCTCGAAAATAAATATCATGTAGGGTATTTTGGGTTTACTTACTGGCTCCAGCTGATTGTACCTCCGCGTCCTCCTTTTACTTATATTGAAAACCATTTTAAATTCTCATTTAAAAACTCTCCCTGATTTGAGACTGGATTCACACGAATGTTCCTCCAGTTCACTCAAACCAAGGCTCTGATACCGACTTGTAACGACCAAAAATTTCTACAAATTTTAATTTTTCAAAAACAACACATTTTAATAATGTTATTACAAAAAGGTTCTCAATACATTTATTATCTGAGTATTCCCAAGTCCTATCATAAAACATAAACACGAGGAGCGGTACAATCACGCCTTTGCCTTGCCACGGTCTCCTGAAGAACTTGAAAAAACATTAAACCACAACTGTATGCCCGAAATCTTAGTGAGATACCCCCAAAATACCAACCACATATACCACAAACATAACATGCTATATCATATCGAATCACAAAACAGCCATGCATATCGGGTGTACTGTGTGACTTGTCCGCCGTGTCGGGCCTTCATTCCACCTGGTCCACCCTCCGAGTCCAGTCATGTCCCTCGAGTCTGCAGTGTGGTTGGTCCGTCCGCACCGACCTTCAACCCATATGGTCCTTTCTTTGAGTCTACAATATGACTGGTCCGCCCGCATCGGGCCTTCAGTCGGCCTGGTCCACTCTCCGAGCCTCGGCACGTCTGGTCCGCCCTCGTAGGGCCTACAACCTATCCGGACCGCTCGCTGGGCCTTCGGATTAACCAGTCCGCCCTGGGTATGTTGGCCTACAACACAAAGCAGGTCCCACTTCAACCCAACCCCAGTCAAACAACCATGTACACATAAACATACAATCATATAACAATTCACATTCAATCAAACCGATCTAGCAGATCACGTAACACAACATACTCTAAGCAGGATACCGACCTAACCGGTCACTAGCATAGCATTACCCTATATACCAGGATACTTACCTTAACCAGGTCTCTAACGAATACCATCCTAACTACCAGGATGCAAACATAGTAAAACAACAACATAACAACAATACCTAGATTATAATCCGATAAAGGGCCGGCCTTGGTGCCTTAGACCCTATTGATATAGTGAGGGTAACTCACCTCGCAACTGCTGACTTGAAAGATAAGACCGAGATGCTCTGACCACTGACACGATCTCCACCACTGGCTAGCACCAACACTGAACTCAAAACAAAAGCCAACAATTACCAAAATGCCCTTAGAAGTCAACGGGTCAACTCTTGGTCAAAGTCAAAGTCAACCTTCTGGCTGACCCTACTCGCCGAGTCAGCCCGCTAACTCGCCGAGTCCCCCCATCACTGAAAACGACCCATTTCGACTCACTGAGTCATCCCTTGACTCACTGATTCTTAGCTTAACCAGGAAAGGCTAAGACCTCATGACCAGAATTGCTGAGTCCAAGAACAGATTCACCGAGTCCAAGAACAAACTTGTCGAGTTCCTGCCCGCCTTCAAGCAACTCGCCGAGTACACCCTTGTGACTCGCCGAGTACCACTAGATCTTAACCCATACAGAAGCCTTTCAGTCCATGCAATCGATCCACAATGTAGATCTACCCTTCAACAACCCTTCCATCACGTAAAGTGGCAAACTTTATGTGAATCCAAAGAGATCTGGGCATTTTACACTCTAGGGCTAGGGTTTGGGACAAGATGGCTTCACCAAACACTCAATAACAGGGACTTTAATGCACTCTAGACCTTCTCCATTCCAGATCTGAGGTAGCAACCTCAGATATAACCTTCAAACTCCAATTACCACAAGCTAAACTTCCCACACATCCCAAAAATGGTGAATCTAGATGAATAGCAGCCCACAAAATGAGATAATACCTTAAAAGGAAGCCTCAACAGCACGGAAATCTGAATCTAAGCAAAGCCCTTTGCTCCAAGCCTCCTAACTCTCCAGGATCTTCCTCCAACTTTCTTCTCCAAGGCTCAAATGCACTCAAATCCTTCACAATCACGCTTCTAGGGTTTTCTGGACTTCACAGGAAGGTAAGGAGGTTGGGGAGAGGGTATAATGTCCTTTATATAGGGCTCATCTCCCAAAATTAGGGTTTTCTTTACACAGCGCCTACTCGCCGAGTCCAACTTTGGACTCGCCGAGTTGGCCACTTAACACGCGACCTGCGTCGCGACCCTACTCGCCGAGTCCACCCATGGACTCGCCGAGTTGCCCTTCAAATTTACACTTTGAACCCCAAACTTGCACTCCTGGACTCGGGATGTTACAATTATATATTTGAAACAACAATTAATCAAGTATATAATACAAAATTATAAAATTATTCACATTTACATGTACTAAATTACAAAAAGAAGTTTCAAAGATTTCATATATACCAACTTAACGCCCTAGAATTTTAGAAAAAAATGATTGTAATATGTTTAGAATTAGTAGTCGATAATTTTCAACCAAATATAAAATCAGTAAAATTAATCACATTTACGTGTATTAAATTACAATAACACAATCATTGAAATATACAGATGTTTTCATAAACCATTTTTTATATTAACTTTGAAGTTTGAACATTATAAGGTGGAAAGTTACAAAAATACAATTCTTAAAAAGATAAAAATAAAAAGAATTACACCATTAAAATAAAATTTATATTTAATGAGAACTCATCAAAACACAATTCTTATTTAAACACATTTTATAAACATCAAAATGCACTAACATTTTTGTTTTATCTCCAAGTATACAACTTTCATCTAAAAAATTATCGTTGTTTAACTAGTCACTACTAGAAAAAAGGCCTTTTACGACGCTCATTACGCGTCGTAAAACGCTCAGACGACGCGCAAATGCGTGTCAAAGAAGGTCCTGTCATAAAGAGAGACGACGTACATTTATGACGCGCATTTACGACGCACGGTTATGACACGCAATGCGTATCAAGGAAGGCCCTGTCATAAAGGAAGACGACATGCATTTGCGTGTCGTAACCTTATGACGCGCGTGTTTATGACACGCAATGCGTATCAAGGAAGCCCCTGTCAAGAAATGCGATGTCATAAATGAAGATGACACACATTTTTGCGTATCATAATTTTAAATGTTTAAAAAAATATTATTTATAGATTTGCTTATTTTCAAATTAAACTTGTATTTAATGTTTAATAATAGATAATAAAATATCATATACAAAAATAGAATCCATTGCATAAATTTAATGTCATACAAATAATCGTTCCATATGTAAACAAATATATACCAAAAACATCATGTCAAAAAATTGTAATACATTTATATTAAGGGGATCTAATTGTACATTGTTATTAAGAGGTTTTCCCTAAATATATAACATAATACTAAATTGCTATTAAGGGACACCTTATGCAATGTAATGCTATACAAACTAAAAAGATATACACAAAGATGATAAACATCAAATTCCAACTAAGTAGAGTTGAATCTTGCCTTTCATACTTCTTCACGACTAATATTGAACCCCTGCTCCGATAATTCTTGTGACCTGATCAAATAAAAGTCAAAAAATTAATATGTTAATACAATTATTAGAAGAATCAAACTTGGAATGTTAGTTGTAAAAGATGAAATTACCCTTTTCTCCATCCAAAGAATTTGGGATTTGGAATAAATACACTACAATATGAATTACGTAATATCAACAATGACAAACACAATGACAAGAATACCCGCATACAAATGGTAAATATTATCTGTAAAGCTATCAACAATGATATTCACAATGACAATCTTTGATCATATAAACTAGAGAGTATATCATCACAATTCCATCTAACACCACCCATTAGAACACGTAAAGCTACTCAACCAACATATCATGTCATGTAATGTATTTTTTGTCAGTATATCTTCACATAGAAAACAAAAGTGAAATAAATAAAAATAACAACCTTCTCATTTACTGAAAATGGATATTGTTCACATATATGGGAGCCATTTTCAGAATTACCATCCCCATTTACCTGAAATCATTCATGCCATTTTAACTCAAATAATTTATTTTAGTAAAAAAAAATATTTATAATTATAGTGTTTTGATTATATAATATATACCCATCTGTCACTGACTCCTCATTCGTCATAAGAATGAACAAATATTTTAATTAATTACCTTGAAATGATAATAATATTAATACTATAACACCATGGCATGGTATATTTGAATAATACCTAGTGTAGCATCCAAGATAAGACGTTGACTTGTTGCTTGAGTAGATTTTGCAGTGTATGATTTAAGGGCATCATCCCACCGTTGCAACTTTTCATACCTTGTATTTGGAAGCAACATAAACAATTAATATTTTGAGAAAATAAGACAATGTAAATGATTTCAGGGTCCTGGAAATATACCATGAATCCTTCAGTTGTAAATCCAAACAGCATCCCATATATAGTTATATACTTAAGAGAGTGAAAAAAGGAAAGTGAGATAGTTTCTATATATGTTTACCCTCCAAAAAGATAGAAGTGAAAGTATCCAAAAGAAAGCACTTATCCACCTTGATTCCTTATATGCAATCCACACCTGATCAAAAGAAGCAATCAAACATTATTGTTATAACAAAAGTCGAAAAATCTCATTTTCACTATAGTTGGAAAGTATATAATAAACAAAGACTTACTGCTACAATGACAATACAAAAATAGAAATCGGTTGTTGTTGCTATCATGCACCTGTGAGCATTTACAACTATGTATGAGCATTTACTATTACACTTTTTTACATAAATTAAATAAAAGGGAAATTTTAAATGGTACCTTGATAATACATTGGCATTGAATGTAGATCCATCAACGATAAGCACATAAATAAAAGTTCCCAGCATCAAGTAGCCTAGTGCAGAAATGATTATTTTTGCAATTAAAACAAAATGTCCCCTTTTGTATCCCATGGCATCCCTATATAAGCCAAATATATAATAAAATTACAAGCATTTTAGCAAACATTTTTACTTGATTTTAGTTTTTGTTATCGTTATTGGACATGTCCCTCAAAAGATATAATGGATCCTTTGATGATTCTTCTGGTGACAACTTAAAGAACTGCAGAGCCACGTATCATTTGTAATAGGGCTGTAGAAGGAATGAAAATTTACTTAAAACATGTTACACTTGTAATTAATAGTAGTAGTAGTAATAATAATAATAATAATAATAATAATAATAATAATAATAATAATAATAATAATAATAATAATAATAAAGTTTAATTACCTTCCTGCAAAAAGTACAACAGGTATCAATACAGCTGCCTTGATCCAGCATGATTCCTTGTAGACTATCCAAGCCTAAGATTGCAAGTATATACACAACCACATATAACTCCATTTGATTCAACAAGCTTGTAACACCATGGTCAAGATCAGTTCCAAAATCCCCAGTAAACACGCCACCTGAATAGAACCGGAAACCCATGCCACTGGCATCAATGGCAATTGATATGGGTTGATTAGCGACTACCTGTAACAATGCGGATTCACTGTTGGCTGGCACTTTTTCATACCCAGTAATGTTGGCAGCATGGACAACTTCTTCCTTGGTGTTGCAGGTTCCATCTGTTGCCTGATATGGGTAAGCCACCTCAGTGTTGATGCCTTTGTTTTTAACGATAAACTCAAAGCCATCTTCCATCTCGCCACCATCACATCCTCCGTTTTGTTTTTGGGGGGTTTTGATTGGTGTTTGTTCATTTAGGGTTCCGTTTTCAGAATGGATTCCTGTAATCAAAGATTTTGATATTAGTATGGAATTGAGTTCCAAATATTCAAATTGCAGTAAAAGAAATGATCTTACTGTTACTGTTTTCCGTAGAGCGACCATTTAAAGGAGGGGAAGAAGCAAACCCAGTGTAATCACCTGAATTCAAATAAAAAAAAATGAGATAAAAAATGATTATTTTTATTTTTAAGGTAGCAGCAGAAAATTAGTTTACCGTTTGTTTGTGCTGGAGAAGATGCATTTTTTAATTTTTCAGCAGATGATTTGCCAGGCCATTATTTAAGAGGGCGAATAACCAGAGCTCTTGGATTCTCCCTTGGAATAAAAAGAGCATCTGCTTTTGGTGTGCTGGTAGTCTCTTCATCATCACTAAAAAACGAAACCTGTAATTGTAAAAAAAATAAATTAGATCCATAAAAAACAATAAGGGCAAAATAGTCAATATAACAACAGATATTACCTTTGGCCCATCGTTTTTCGGGTGATACTTTCTAGCACCCCACGAAGTTTTTACCAACTAGTACTTCATGCCAAAGCTGTGTATATGATGTATTCACCATCACCACAAACAACAATATACCTCCTATTTGGGTTGTGCTTCAAGCTCTGTGGAAAAATAGAAAAGTCAAAGTCCATATGGTTGACTATTTTCAGTTTAAAGGAAGGTAGGAACAAGCATAACTCACTTGTGGATAAAGATCACATGTTCCAAGTTCTTTAACTGCTAAAGGCAGCCTCTCTCCATCAGAAACCTGAATAAAAAATAGATTTTTTTTCCCATTTCATTGTTAACATAACATAACATGTATATGAGCTTTAAAGTCCAAACCTCATGATCAGCTCCCACACTCTTGATGTTAATAGTTTGAATTTCATTATGTTTAGCCCATATAATTTTTCCACTATTGTCCATGCTGGCTACAGGCTCTTCACATCCAATTTTCACCATTATGGTTCCTTCATCATAGCCAATAACAATCCTGTAAAAACAGTAATTAAAATAAATCCAAGTGAATGAAGAAGCATCAAGATTCAAGACCCACAAAACAAAAACAAAAAGTGCTATACAAACTTACCGACGTGAACCTTTCATGTATCCAACAGCCTAAACCCTTTCAAGTCCATAGTTCAAGGTGTTCTCAAGTCTGAATAAAAAAAAGAGTGGCATAAAGTCAAAAAGTTTACATTTTTAACATATGTATAACGAGGGTATTTTGGTCTTTTGATAGGAAAAGAAGAAAGAAATTGAATTCCTTCCATCCATCAAACATGGAATTTGAAGGAATCCAACAAAAATTGAATTCCATCCATTTGGAAACCAAACACACCATGGAATGGAATCTAGCATTCCGATTCTTTTAGAATCTACAAAACAAACACACCCTTAAAGGTAAAAAAACAAGAGCTCACCTGTAAGTGGTTGAATGCCTTATACGGATAGTACCATCTTCTGAACCTGTCATTATTATTGGAAGCTCGGGATGGAAACATACAACAGAAACATTGTGTGTGTGACCTTCCAGAGTTTGGACACAGGTTTTAGTTAGCAACTCTACAGTAACAGATCACAGTTGTGACCGTATTGCTGGATTCTCATATTGAGATAGTAAAGGGAATCAAATCAGTTTAGAAATTGTAAGTAAATGAGATTTAATTCCTATTACATAAATTAAATTCCAACTCCTAAACACTAAATTGATTTTTTATCATTATCAAAACACAATTGGCTGATTACTACTCATGTGTATGTATAATAATAGTAAATTGAATCTAATAGGAATACATAAATTTTTATTTACCTGTGAGGTTGTCACTGTGGCAGGTTGCTTTGAACCTTGTTCATTAATCTTTGGACAATCCCCTTTTGGTTCAAACATTTAGTCAAACACCTAGTGTGCATAAAAAAATCAGGTACTTATATCATAAAATATTAATAATTCCATGAAAATATATGAGAGAGGGTAAAAAGGCACAAAAAATCGTCCAAAAAGAAGGACCGGTAGGACATGAAACAGGTAACTATGGTTGAAAAAGGAAGAATTACCTTTGAAATAGGCCTACTACGCAGATGAAATAGGCAACAGTGGTGGTATAGTGGTGGTTCTGGGCTGTTGCGAAGGCAGTGTGGTGGTGGCTCAGGGCTGGTGTTGTGGTGCAATGTTGTAACGGTGGAGTCTAAAAGCAAACACAAATTGTGATGGAAGCTATTGTTGTTGGTGATGTCCGATTCATCAAAAGAAAATCATTCTTCGATCAATCTTCTATTTTGTGAAAGAAGATATTACTATTTCAAATGTGTTATGTTTGATTAGGGTTTGCACATAGAAGGAAGTGAAAGTCGATCGGCGAGGAAGGGGTTTGCAGAGAGAAAGAACGGAGAGAATGAAGTCGATTTTGGCGGGTGTAGAGAGTAGAGAGGAAGAGGAAGCGGGTGTTCAAAATTTTGGGGGATTTAGTTTCCCCACTTAGCTATCAAGGAGTCCCAGAAACGCGCGTTTATTAAAATTATAAAGCGACATTTGTAGAGGACGCCCGTTTTATTATAGGTGCCCTCCGTGTTTTTAATATTTTTACATGAGACACTAATTTAAGGGCACTCAGTAATGCGCGACCTAAATCCTTAAAATTTTTGAAGAGATGACACTTTTTTAATGTTGCTCTCTAATGCGTAACATAAATCAAAGAGCGTCGTGTTTTGCGCGTCGTAAAAGGCCTTTTTTCTAGTAGTGAGTTTTTTTTTTTATTTCACAAACATACTTTCAATAATAACAAATGAAAATTGGGAAGAATTTCTTATGGCTTTAAATATACAACTTAAGACAATTCTTCACCATCTCTAAATACCAAAACGTTTTGGATTTCAGCTCTAAACATACAACCTTGAATCCATTCTTCATATTCTCTAAATACCAAAAATATTTTCTTATAAAATTTCAAGAAAATATACATAAAAAAAGTGGTGGAAAGAAGAAAGCAAACCTATTTGGAACTTCTCAATTCAAATGACAATCAAAAGATAATGAAAAGAAAAGAGAATAATTGTTCCTTATACATGCCAAATATTTCAATTAAATAATCATTTAAATAATATAATGTGAAGAGTTTGAGAGTTTCAAATGAATATGGTTCAAGATAGATGATCTCTCTTGAACCACATTCATTTGAATGACCTACTTCATTATGTATATATATAAGGAGAGAGAGAGAGAGAGAGACAAGTTCTTTTGAGAATTTAAAGATTTGTGAGAACTCAAGAACTCTTAATCCCCTCATCATTTTTCGAAACCAAAACCACCAATATCCCTTAAATTGTGCATCAATAAGGGATCAATGCTAAAAAAAAAATTAAAGATTTAACGAACCTTTTTTTTGGAACAAGAATATATGCACATCTAAATATGCATGCATTCATATTTATGTTCTCTGTGTTTTTTCGACATTTTCAAGTTATGATTCTCTTAAACGCTTCTAATAGATTCTCATTGTTGGGTTAGTTTTATAAAATATTGGAAAAAAATAGCACAAATATGCAAGCATGCAAATATATATAAATATATATATATATATATATATATATATATATAGAGAGAGAGAGAGAGAGAGAGAGAGAGAGTTAGGTTCATATATAATCCATAATTATTGTGTGAATGTATGACCAAATATTAACCATTAGATTAAAAGAATGAAATGTTGTGATCTTATGGTACATCTTATTTACATGGACTTCCATATACTATATAATTACATTTAATAAGGATAGCATATAAATTTTATTAATTGAATTAATTATTCATAAATTTAAATTCGTGTAATTATGGAATACGTTACTCCCCCATTAGGTACGATGATTTCCATATTCTTGAAGAATAGAAACCTAAGTATCATATAATCGATTTGGGGTTTTGGTTATTTCAAATTGAATCGGCGTACTTTTTGAGTATATTTGAATGATAGTTTCATATCCGATGTGGTCATTGTGATTAATTAATTTTTGTATACTTCAAAAAAATTGGAAGTGTTGTGTGCCAGACTTGCGCTGGACTTTACATGTTGTCATCATGATTAAATATTTTCCATATTCTCTTACCTTCTTTTCTACCGAAAATATGTTTTAATTAATGATTTTCTTGATAAATATTTAATCTAATAGCCCCTCAGTTTATGAGGCTGTATGATATGTAGTTTGGTAGAAAAAGGGGCAACAATATCATATGATGTTGGAACCATACTATATGTTGACTACTGTTAAGGCGATCCTATGTAAGGATAATTTTTTAGAAAGTATAATAGTTTCATTCGATGAACATACACAATCAAATTAGTTTGTACAACAAAAAAGACAATATTTTTTTATAATGCATTGATTGAGCTTTTTTGTTGGTTTTTTTTAAAACATGTTTTGAAAAATAATAACTGATTTTATAGTAATATTCTTGTAGAATGTATATGATAAATTTGGTTAAAGCAATATTCTTCATGTTCTTTAAGAATTATGCAGATGTAAGACTTATTTTGTGTTGTGTTCAAGTTTTTGATATTGTAAGTTTGAGTTGTAAAGAATTTTTGCAATATATTCTTATAGAATGTTATGTATATGGTAAATGTGAAATGATTTTTGAAGAAATATTTTAGAAGAATAGAATGTGGTTTTCATTGGGTAAAATGTAGGTACTGTCATTTGGCCATATATTTTTACAAACTATGGTTTTTAGCCATATATTCTTACAAACTATGATTTTTTAGTTAAATGTGAAACTAATTGATGAAGTAATATTCATGAAGAACTAACCTGTTTTTGATTTGGTAAAAATACAGTAATATTCTACAAGAATTATGTAGATTTCACTCATTTTGTTTTCTTAAAAGTAAGAAAGAGTAGAAATGCACATCCTTTATTAGTTAAAAATGAATATGGTAAATGAACTTATAATACATGACTAATTCTTCAAGAATGAGAATGCACATCCTTTATTCCTCAAGAATATCAGTTATCTAGTTGTATTTAAATAATATCATAAACGTACTTATAATACATGATTAATTCTTCAAGAATGAGAATGCTAAGTACATAAATTGAAATAATATCATAAACGTACTTATAATACATCGCTTTATTTTTTTAATCTGATGGCTAGAATTCGGTCACACATTCACACAATACTTATGATTCACATTTAATTCTAACCCTATATATATATATATATATATATATATATATATATATATATATATATATATATATATATATATATATATTGGAACATTCAAATGTGCGTACGTGCACATTTCCAAAAAAAAACCATCAAATCTTTATTAACCTATTTATGGATTAGACATGCCATTTGGAGAATATTGGTGGTCTTGGTTTTGAAAAATGATTAGTGGATTAAGGGTTCTCATTGTTGAAACAGAAAAGTGACCCCCTTCAGCTAAGATGGACCCGAAGACTCGAATGCCTTTGTGAACCGGAGAAGTATCACACGAAGACTGTTTGTCATCTTATGGACCCAAAGACATGAAGAAGGCTTGAAAATGAATATAACATGAAGACCGTCACAAGTTACATTTTTCTAACTTTGCTTGTAATCTTAGTGTTATCTGATGTAACAATGTGAACTTTCAAAACATTTTTTCATTTTAAATTAATAAAAATACTCCAATCACAATTCTAAAAAACGTGTATCAATTGTTTTTCACATAACATAAGTACAAATCACGATCCTCAAAATCTCAAATCACCTCCACTATAAGTGTGTACTGATCATGCCGGCACCTTCCCGCGATCATCACTGGTACCTGAAACACATAACACGCGAACGGTAAGCTTAAATCCTTAGATAGTTCCCCAAAATACCACATACAGCACATACACCTTTCCAAGCCATAACTTTATGGGATCTTCCGATCTAGTGTCTCAGGGGATTTCCATCCCATAACTTTGTTGACATTTCGGTCCATACTCTGTTGACCTTCTGGTCCATACCATCCTGACCTTCCAGTCTACATCATCATACTCATATCATAACATAATACAGATACAACATACAACACATATTCATCACATACATAAGACCTTCTGGTCACACATAATTACCCCATCGGGTAAGGCATAGTGAGAAGACTCACCTCGAAGATGTCAATAATCACTCTTGCTCAATCTTCCGACCTAGCTTCCTCCTATAGCATAATTACATCTCTAATTAGTACCTCCCCGATTTAGTTTGACTAATGCCCTTAAGTCAACACAAGTCAACTCTGGTCAACGCTGGTCAATGGCCTACCTTTGACACAATTCGTCGAGTCAGGCACTAACTCGGCGAGTTCAGACGTGAACTCAAGTCCCCTAAATCTCATTTGAATCACCGAGTCATTCCCCCAACTCGGCGAGTCACCAAATGTGTGAGTCACGGGAGAACCCAGTCCGACTCGTCAAGTCTGTTCATGGACTCGGCGAGTTCATTCCATGCTCAAACTCAAATGACCTTTTGAGGTCAGATCTTTTCCTCTAATCCATAGATATGACCATCCCAAGCTCAATAAACACATAAAGGTTCAATCTTGATACTCATGCAACGTCCAAACAACTCTACTTGATGAATTAGCCCCAAATACAACATCCTAAGTCCATTTCTTCCATAACTCATAATAAAGAAAGATGGATAAAGCTATCTGGACCACTATGGGTCCAGATTCGATGTCT